TTAAGTCGTTGAATAGTTGTTAGGTTGAATGGGCTGTTGGTCTTGAATGGGCTGTTGGGTCGTTGGAAAGTCTTTGGAATGGGCTGTTGGGGTCTTTGAAATGGGCTGTTGGTCTTTGAATGGGCTGTTGGTCTCTTTTTGAATGGGCTGTTGGCCGTTTTTAATGGGCTGTTGTTGCCAAGGCCCTCTTTGGGTCTTTGATATGGGCTTGTTGGGTTTTCGCACATAGGCTGTTGGGGTGTTGTCGTTGAATGGCTGTTGGGGCTCGGTTAGATGGCTGTTGGTGTCTTTGAATGGGTCTGTTGGGTCTTTGAAATGGCTTGTTGGGTCTGCTGTGGGTCTTTGAAATAGGCTGCTGTTGGCGGTCTTTGAATAATGGCTGTTGGGTCTTTGAATGGGCTGTTGGAGATCTTTTGAATGGCTGTTGGTTGGGTCTTATGAATGGAATGGGCTGTTGGGTCTTTGAATGATGCGGCTGTTGGGTCTTTGAATGGGCTGTTGGGTCGTTGAATAGGCTGTTGGGTCTTTGAATAGGCTGTTGGCTTTGAATAGGGCTTTGGGTCGTTGAATGGGCTGTTGGGGTCTTTTGAATTGGGTCTTTGAATGGGTGTTGGGTCTATGAATGGGCTGTTGGAGTCTTTGAATGGGGCTGTTGGGTCTTGAATGGGATGTTGGTCTTTGAATGGCTTGGGTCTTTGAATGGGCTGTTGGGTCTTTTGAATGGGCTGTTGGGCTTGAATCTGTTTTTTGAATGGGTCTTTGGGGCTGTTGGTCTTTGAATGGGCTGTTGGGTCTTTGAAATGGGCTGTTGGGTCTTTTTGAATGGGCTGTTGGGTCTTTGAATGGGCTGTTGGGTCTTTGAATGGGCTGTTGGGTCTTTGAATGGGCTGTTGGGTCTTTGAATGGGCTGTTGGGATCTTGAATGGGCTGTTGGGTCTTTGAATTGCTGTTGGGTCTTTGAATGGGCTGGTTGGTCTTTGAATGGGCTGTTGGGTCCTTATGGGCTGTTGGGTCTTTGAATAGGCTGTTGGGTCTTTGAATGGGCTGTTGGGCCTTTGAATGGGCTGTTGGGTCTTTGAATGGGCTGTTGGGTCTTTGAATGGGCTGTTGGGTCTTTGAATGGGCTGTTGGGGGTCTTTGAATGGGCTGTTGGGTCTTTGAATGAGGCTGTTGGTTGGGTTGTTGGGTCTTTAATGGGCTGTTGGGTCTTGAATGGGCTGTTGGGTCTTTGAATGGGCTGTTGTCTTTGAATGGGTTGTTGGGTCGTTGAATGGGCTTCGGTCGTTGAATTGGCTGTTGGTCGTTGAATAGGCTGTTGGGTCTTTGAATGGGCTGTTGGGTCTTTGAATGGGCTGTTGGGTCGTTGAATGGGCTGTTGGGCGTCTTTGAATGGGCTGTTGGGTCTTTGAATGGGCTGTGGTCTTTGAATGGGCTGTTGGGTCTTTGAATGGGCTGTTAGGGTCGTTGAAATGGGCTGTTGGGTCGTTGAAATGGGCTGTTGGATCGTTGAATGGGCTGTTGGATCGTTGAATGGGCTGTTGGGTCGTTGAATGGGCTGTTTTGAATGGGCTGTTGGGTCTTTGAATGGGCTGTTTGGGTCTTTGAATGGGCTGTTGTCTTTGAATGGGCTGTTGGGTCGTTGAATGGCTGTTGGTCTTTGATATGGCTGTTGGTCTTTGAATGGGCTGTTGGGTGAATGGCTGTCGTTGAATGGGCTGTTTGGGTCTTTGAATGGCTGTTGGGTCTTTGAATTGGCTGTTGTCTTTGAATGGGCTGTTGGGTCTTTGAATGGGCTGTTGGTCTGTTGAATAGGCTGTTGGGTCTTTTGAATCTGTTTCGTGGAATGGGCTGTTGGGCCTTTGAATGGGTTTGAATGGCTGTTGGGCCTTTGAATGGGCTGTGGGTCTTTGAATGGGCTGTTGGTCTTTGAATGGGCTGTTGGGTCTTATGAATGGGCTGTTGGGCCTTTGAAATGGGCTGTTGGGTCTTTGAATGGGCTGTTGGGTCTTTGAATGGCTGTTGGTCTCTTGAATGGGTTGGTTCTGGGCTGGTCTTTGAATGGGCTGTTGGGTCTTTGAAATGGCTTGTTGGGTCGTTGAATGGGCTGTTGGGTCGTTGAATGGGCTGTTGGGTCGTTGAATAAGCTGTTGGGCCTTTTGAATGGGCTGTTGGGTCTTTGAATGTTGGCCTGTTGGGCCTTTGAAAATGGGTTGTTGGGTCTTTGGAATGCGGCTGTTTGGTCTTTGAATGGCTGTTGGGCCTTTGAATGGGCTGTTGGGTCTTTGAATGGGCTGTTTGGTCTTTGAAAAATGGCATGTCTCTTTGAATGTGCTGTTGGGCTTTGAATGGCTTGGGTCTTTGAATGGGCGTTGGGCTTTGAATCCCCTTGAATGGGCTGTTGCGGTCTTTGAATGGCTGTTGGCGTTGAATGGGCTGTTGGTCTTGAATGGCTGTTGGTCTCGTGAATGGCTGTTGGGTCGTTGAATGGGCTGTTGGATCGTTGAATGGGCTGTTGGGTCCTTTGAATGGGGCTGGTGGGTCTTTGAATGGCTGTTGGGCCTTTTGAATGGGCTGGTCTGAATGCTGTTGGCCTTTGAATGGGCTGTTGGGTCTTGAAATGTTGGGTGTTTGGAATGTGCTTTGTTGAATGGGATGTTGGGTCTTGAATGGCTGTTGGGTCTTGGAATGGCTGTTGGGTCGTTGAATGGCTGTTGTGGCCTGTTGGGTCTTTGAATGGCTGTTGGGTCTTTGAATGGGCTGTTGGCGTCTTTGAATGGGCTGTTGGAGTCGTAATGGGCTTTGGCGTCTTTGAATGGGCTATTGCGGTCGTTGCATGGGCTTTGGGCTCGTTGAATGCGGCCTGTTGCGCCTTGAATGGCGCTGTTGTGTCTGAATGGGCTGTTGGGTTCTTTGAATGGCTGTTGGGCCTTTATGGGCNGGGCTGTTGGTCTTTGATGCGGCTGTTGGGTTCTTTGAATGGGCTGTTGGGGTCTTTGAAGGCTGTTGGGTCTTTGAATTGGGCTGTGCTTGGGCTCTTGAATGAACTGGGCTGTTGTTGGGCGTTCTTCTTGAATGGCTGTTGGTCTTTTGAATGGGCTTGTTGGGTCTTTGAATGGCTGTTGGTCTTTAATGGCTGTTCTTATTGAATGGGCTGTTGGGTCTTTGAATAGGCTGTGGGTCTTTGAATGGCTGTTGGGCGGCTGTTGGTCTATTGAATGGGCTGTTGGGTCTTTGAATGGGCTGTTGGCTGACTGGGTCTGAATGGGCTGTTTGGGTCTTTGAATGGGGCTGTTGGGTCTTTGAATGGGCATTGGGCTGAATGGGTGTTGGGTCGTTGAATTGTTGTCTTTGAATGGGCTGTTGGGAATGGGCTGTTGGGTCTTTGAATAGGCTGTTGGGTCTTTGAATGGGCTGTTGGGTCTTTGAATGGCTGTTGGTCTTTTTGGGCTGTTGGCGCTTTGAATGGGCTGTTGGTCTTTGAATGGGCTGTTGGGTCTTTGAATGGGCTGTTGGGGTCTTTTGAATGGGCTGTTGGGGTGCGTGAATAGGCTGTTGGGTCTTTGAATGGCGTTGGGTTTTGAATGGGTTGATGGGCTGTTGGTCTTGAATGGCTTTTTGGGTCTTTGAATGGGCTGTTGGGTCTTGAATGGGCTGTTGGTCTTTGAATGGGCTGTTGGGTCTTTTGAATGGGCTGTTGGTCTTGAATGGGCGGTTGAAGTCTTTGAATAGGCTGTTGGGTCTTTGAATGGGCTGTTGGGTCTTTGAATGGGCTGTTGGGTCTTTGAATGGGCTGTTGGGTCTTTGAATGGGCTGTTGGGTCGTTGAATAGGCTGTTGGGTCTTTGAATGGGCTTGTTTGGGTCTTTTGAATGGGCTGTTGGGTTTGGTTGATGGGCTGTTGGGTCTTTTGAATGGGGGTCGTTGGTTTGGTCTTTTGAATAGGCTGTTGGGTCTTTGAATGGGCTGTGGGCTTTGAAATTGGGCTTGAATGGGCTGTTGGGTCTTTGAATGGGCTTTGGGTCTTGATAGGCTGTGGGTCTGAATGCTGGCTGTTGGGTCTTTGAATGGGCTGTTGGGTCTTTGAATGGGCTGTTGGTCGTTGAATGGGCTGTTGTTGGGTCTTTGAATGGGCTGTTGGGTCTTTTGAATGGCTGTTGGGTCTTTGAATAGGCTGTTGGGTCTTGAATTGGGTCTTTGAATGGCTGTGGTCTTGAATGGGCTGTTGGGCCTTTGAATAGGCTGTTGGGTCGTTGAATGGGCTGTTGGGTCTTTGAATGGGCTGTTGGGTCTTTGAATGGCTGTTGGGTCTTTGAATGGGCTGTTGGGTCTTTGAATGGGCTGTTGGGTCTTTGAATGGGCTGTTGGGGTTGAATGGGCTGTTGGTCTTTGAATGGGCTGTTTGGGTCTTGAATGGGCTGTTGGGTCTTGAAATGAATGCTGTTGGGTCTTTGTAGGCTGCGGTCGTTGAATGCGTTGTTAGCTCGTGGAATAGGTCGTTAGGTCGCTGATTAGGTTGTCAGGTCGTTGAATAACTTGTTAGGTAGGTAGGTAGGATGTTAATCAAGTAGGTAAGTCTTTGAGTAAGTAGTTTGGCTGTTAAATAGCTTATTAGTTCGTTTAGGAAGTAGTTAGGCTTTTGAATAACTTGTTAGGTAGGTAAGTAAGATGTTAATGAAATAGGTAAGTCTTTGAGTAAGTAGTTTGGCTGTTAAATAGCTTATTAGTTCGTTTAGGAAGTAGTTAGGCTTTTAAATAACGAATTTGTAACACTCCAACGGGGAAAAGAAAGTCGTGAGTCGGATTCAAGAACTGGTATCCGCGTGCATGCGACTTACACGAACGCTGGCTCGCATGGCGGTTAATCATCGTAATGGTGTTGGATTTGTCTCGATATTTGGGTTTTGTCGGTTGTGTGATCTTATCGGGGTCGGTTCAAGTTCTTTCCAAGTTCTTTTCTTTTTTCTATTGTTTTTTCGGTGTTTCGTTTTATATATTTATTTATACTTTTCTTTCCTATTCTTCTCTTCACTTTCTTCCTCCACATTTTCTCTTTATTTTTCATATTTCCTGTTTCTTTGCCTTTTTTTATATTGTTCATTCTTACTGCTCCATCTTTAATTCATATGCGCTGCTACTTCCATTTATATATAATATATATATATTTATATATATATATATATATATATATATATATATATATATGTTCGCTGTTTGTTTCAAATTATTTCTCTTCTTTTCTTCCCCTTCTCATTTTAGTTCCTCTTTCCTACTCCATCCTTCGCTTTCTCATTCATCATTATTTATAGTCTCCTTTTCTTGAAACATTTTCTTCTTACTTTTTCTTTTATTTTTACCCGTCCTTACATTTCTTTCTACTCCAATTCCCTTCTTTCTCTTTATCTCTCTGATTCTCATAATTTACCCCTAATTTCGTCTTCCCCTCCTCTCTTATTCTTCCTTCTATTCTTCGTCTTATTCCTCCTGATCATCCTTCTTTAAATTCTTCTTGCCATCGACTCATCCTCTTCTCATCCTCTTTCCTTTCACCACATTTTCTTGCTCCTCTTCCTCCTCCTCTCATCCAACTCTTCTTCCTTTCCCGTCTTCTTCTCCCCTCCTATTCCTTTCTCCTCTTTTCTCCTCTTCTTCTCCGTCTTCATCTCCCCTCCCCTCCTCCTCCCTCCTCTTCCTTCTTCATACACTCATTTACCTTCTCCACCCATTATTATTATTCTTTCCATTTCTCCAGTTATTCAATGTCATTCTCAGTCTCATTGTTTATTCAACCTTGGGAGAATTCGACTGTGAGAAGGGCATAATTTGATTTGCATATTTAGCACTCTCTGTCAGTCTCTCTTCTCTCTCTCTCTCTCTCTTCATTCTCGCTCTCTCTCCTCTCTCTCTCTCTCTCTCATTCTCCTCGCTTTATCTCATTCTCTCTCTCTCTCTCTCTCTCCTCTCTCTCTCTCTCTCCTCATCTCTCTCTCTCTCTCTCTCTCTCTCTCTCTCTCTCTCATTCTCGCTTGATCTCTCTCTCTCTCTCTCATCTCGCTTCACCTCTCTCCTCTATTCTCTCTCTCTCTCTGCTCGTGCTCTCTTCCCTCCCCCCCCTCTCTCTCTCATTCTCGCTTCCTCTCTCGCTCTCTCTCATTCTCGCTTTCTCTCTCTCTCTCTCTCTCTCTCTCTCTCTCCTCCCTCTCTCACTCTCGTTCTCGCTTCTCGCTCGCTCTCTCTCATCCGCTTCATCTCCTTTTCTCCCTCTCTGTCTTTACTTTCTCTCTCTCTCTCATTCCTCCCTCTTCTCCTCTTCTCTCTCTCTCTCTCTCATCTCGGCTCTCTCCCTCTCTCATTCTCGCTCTCTCTACATCTATCTATCTTCTATCTTCTTCCTCCCCCCCCCCCCCTCTCATCTCTCATTCTCGCTTCCCTCTCTCTCTCTCGTCTCTCTCTCTCTCTCTCTCTCTCCTCTCTCTCTCTCTCTGCTCTCTCTCTCTCTCTCTCTCATCTCATCACTCTCTTCTCTCGCTTCCCTCTCTCGCTCCTCTCATTCTCGCTTCATCTCTCTCTCTCCCTCTCTGTCTTTTTTACTTTCTCTCTCCTCTCTCTCCTCTCTCTCTCTCTCTCTCTCATCTCTCTCCTCTCTCTCTCTCTCTCTCTCTCTCTCTCTTTCTCTCTCTCTCTCTCTCTCTCTTCTCTCTCTCTCTCTCTCTCTCTCTCTCTCTCTCTTCTCTCTCCTCTCGCCTCTCTCTCTCCCTCCCCTCTCCTCTCCTCTCTCTCTCTCTCTCTTCCATTCCCCCTCTCCTTCTCTCCTTCCCCTCCTCTTCTACTGTGGGTATTCTCTGTGTACAAGTGTTCGTTGTACAATTAGTGCGTTCGGATACCACTAAACGCTTTCCAAGGCAGTTCCACCCGGGTAATTAAAGGGTAATAGGCATTTCTGGTGTTGTTCGCTCATGGACAGTTAGCAGACAAATACTAACAAATACTGTAATTGGAAGGCAAGAAGGTACTCATCAATTATCAGCAATATCCAATTAGTCGACCGATGTTATTGTTATCGACGTAACCTCGTTGGTAATTGGCAATAGATCTTTGGACATTGTTATTTACTTTTAATTTTTAGAAAGTTCAGAATTCGAGAGAAAAAAAAATAAATATCGGAAATCTCGAAATTCCCCGGATGTATAATCGAAACGAAACGCCGTGTAAACAAACAAAAGACGATCGCATAAGGGGATTGGGTAGTTTGAGGGAGAGGATCGAAGAGCATGTAGGTAATAATCCCCTTCTCCTTTTGGGTTATCTTGGAAAGCCTTGACCTGTTATAGTCTTGTGTTGCTAAGTCGTGGAATTCCTTCATGCCTCGGAATCTAGAACGCGGAGTCTTGCTGGGATCGCTTGGCTGCACATTCTCTCCGTTTTTGTCTCTCCGTTCGTTCTTGCTTTCTCTCTCGCTCTTTCGCGGTCTCTCTCGCTCTCTTTTTCTTCGCACTTCTTTTTT